TTTTTATGCCCTGCTAAACTATTATTTTTGAATGAAGTCAAAATAAATGCATTTTCAAACAGCAATCAAGTAAGTTTACCACCCACAGATCCTCGCAGGAAGAACTGATAGAGACATATTTCAAGGAGAAAGACGTAATCTGAAAGGGAAAGTTCTGGATCCAAGAGCAATGGTACACACAGATACTTGGTCATACATCTTTTCAAAAAGTAGTCCATCAGGAAAAAAATGTAATTTTTTGTGTGTATGTTTAAAAAAATAAATGAAACTCAAAGTCTGGACAATATTCACAAGGTAGAGAATGTTCAGTGAGTAGCAAAGCATGTTCCATCAGTTTTGTTTGAAGGGAGAGTAAAGACACTGATAAGTGTAACTTCCTTATAAATATTTATCATTAGTTATGATTCTTCGAAATTGAAAAATGAAAGTTAAATCAGAGCACAATACCTCCTTCCAAAGCAAAAGAATTAAGGAATGGAGAAAACGTTATTAAAATTTGGGAAACTAGGAAAGGAGAAAAAAAAAAAAAAGAAGCAATAAGAAAAACATGATAAGCCCAAACCCTAGAATAAGATGTCGGAAATATGTCCAAATAGATCAGTAATTGCAATAGTTTAAACAGCTGAGGTTCTTTAAAAAGACAGGCATCCAGATTTGATTTTTAAAATAAAATTCAGCTTTGTGTTATTTATAAGAGACATACTTAAGAAGAAATGATGTTGAGAAGTCCAAAATTAAACAGGAAAAGCTATATCAGACCAACATTAATAAGAACAAAACTGTTAGAGCAAACTGAATAATAGACAACTTTTAGGGCAAAGATGGTTCTTGGGGATAAAGAGGAGCTTTCATAATAAGGAAAGAACAATTCTATAAGAAGTAACAATCTTCGATTTGTTTGTTCTTAATGTAGTCTTAATATTTATGAAGCAAAACTAATAGAATCACCAGGAAAATTTATAAGGAAATTGAAAAATTAAGCTGGAAAAAAAAAAACATAAGTCTATAAAGGATTTCAACAGCACAATTAAAAGGTTGGTCTAATTAGATAGAAAACCCTGTACCTAGTAGAGAGATTATGCACTCTTTTCAAGCATTCTTTGAACATTTATAAAAATTGGCTCTATTAATAACAACTTCGTATCTTGTGACCATATTGCAATTAAATTAGAAGTCCACAATTAAAAATGATTAGATGACAAGAGACAAATCCACGTATTTGTAAACTATAAAGCCAATTCCTAAAATAGCTTTTAGGTTAAAAAGGAAATCACAATAAAAATTACGAGGGAATGCTTCTGGCTTTCCCACATATACCAATTAGCTTGTTACCTTGTTAAAGTCGTGGCTTGTTACATTACTTTGATTTATATACAAACCGTTTCTCTTGTATTCCCTTTCCTCTATCTACTATCTCTCTAATTTTTAAGGTTTTGCTTTTATTTTTCTGGAAAGACAAAGATATCCTCTTTACTTTTATAGTTTCAAATTTTTACTCTCGTTCTTTATCCTCAATACCTTCTATTTTCACATGCAAGACTTAGCATCTTAATGGTTTTTGACTTTCAGTGATTGCTTT